TCGGGCGTATTGACCGCACCGCTGCCCTATCTCTCCTTTTGTGGGTGTGGGTGTCAGCTGGTGCGGCGCACTCATTTGAGCGTGATGGCTACATGTCTCAGGGCCCAGCCTCTGGGCCGGCATGAGCCAGCCGTCAATCAACCCTCTCAGACAGGCAAGACAGCAGACAGACAGACAGGCACACCCAGTGCCCGATAATGGGTTTTGTGTGTGTGTGTGACTGGCTGACAGGTGCTTGATGCCGTGGGTGAGGAGGACTCCATCGAGTGGTGCAGCTACGACGGCTGGTCGCTCTACACACCAGAGGGCACATGGCGATACACCGTCGGCCCGGGCAACTTCGAGCCGACACTGCGCAAGTACGGTGGCGAGCAGGCCGTCAAGGAGTGGCGAGCACGCAAGGGCTCAGCCGTTCTCCGATGCGGGCCATCTTCCACAGGAGGCCCATGAAGTTCATTCATTCATTCATTCGAGCGTCCTCGTGAGCACACAAGGCATTCATTCGGACGAAGCGAGCAGCACTGCAGGACACCCTGCAATGACCAGGGCGGCGAGTCCGGCTCACCAAGGTTTCCCTTGGCTACTCTCTGGGTTTCACATGCCCCGTATTTTAGAATCGCGGGGGAAAAGCGCCCGGCCACATTTCTATCCCGGGCTGGCGGCTGAAAAACTGGTTGTGCTCTTGTGTGTGTGTGTGTGTGTGTGTGGGTGTGTGTGTGAGGTTGTGTGGGGGTGCGCGTGGTTCAGGTTTCTGTCTGCCCTCGTCCCCCCCTTCCCCCCCTCCCCCTCTGCAGATTCTCCTTCTGTCAAGTTTTCATCCCTCGAGTGCGTTCTTGTGTTCAATACACGGTTTGGTCCCGTGGTTTACCTCTATACCCACCCATCCACTCACGCGTCGCGTCGTCTAGTGCTCACGTCGGCAGCTACATGTGTCGGGTGCTGTGGTGTGGCTTTATTCGTGCCTGTCTGCCTGTCTTTCTGTCTGTCGTGGGTGTGGGACTCATGCGTGCGGGTCAGTCAAAAGCAACAAGCAAGACAGACATAGAGATACATATATATGGATGTTGTTATCCTCGGTTGATGCGTGACATGCAGGGCCGTTCACTTCTTCCCCTTCTCCTTAGGCGGCACGTAGTCTGTCAGGTAGACAGCACAGCAACCAGAGAAAGAGACACAAGCGAAATCAGTCGGTCAACCGTTGTGGCGCCCACGACTGATGACTAACTGCATGAATGCGTACTGACCTTTGTTGCCAGGTGGTGTGTGTGCATTTCGTCCATGAGATTCCAGCCCGTTGCCGTGTGTGCAGCGGTGGCCACCGCGTGGGCGGCGGTACTCGCCGCGTTTGCGGCCTCGGTGATGCGCTGGGCCTTGCCGAGTGCCGTCTGCAGATAGGCAGCCGACACGGACCCACCTGCAGCCGTCACATCCATCCATCCATCCATCCATCCATTCATCCATCCATGGCTTTGGAAAGATCTTCTTCTCTCCCACCAGATTGCTGGATGAAGGCGTCGCCATCGATATCGTCCCCCGAGAGTCGGCATGAGGCGTCGGACCCCCAGCTGCTCACACACATGTACACATGCGCGCCCAAGCCAACGACATATTTATCCATCCATCCATACAGAAAGCAGGTATGCACCAGATCAACACGTGTGTGTACCAGCGCGCCGGGAGTTCCTCTCTTACCTTACCGGTGCATCCGCCCCGTCGGGGTCTTGCCGTTGGCGGTCTGGATGGCGTCACAAAGGCCCACCAGAAGCGCCAGAGCTACGGCCATCATGGGCTGGCGCGAGGGGAAGAAAGGTTTTGGGGTGTGCAAATGTGCCGATGAATGGTAGAACCTTCCACTACGGCAGGCCGAGACGCCCCAGTCTCAGGCCCCCACGTTGCGAGCTCCCCTGCATCTCCACCGTGGAGGTCTTAGCAGATCATCCTTCCCTTGCGATTGATGACATGACTTCGGTATACGAATGTGCTCGATGGGTGGTGGACAATGCAGCAGAGGTGCGCATCAACACGTCGAAGCTGCAGGAGTTTGTGGAGCGGCATGCCGACACGAAGCCCATCGGCTCGTCGGCAGCAGCAGGTGGCGACGCGGACGCACCGCAGGCCTTCCTGGGCTGGCGGGAGTGCCCTTTTCACTTTGTCGAATCGCACCCCGGGTCAGTCAGCCACATCAAGTTCGCACCGAATGGATGTTATGCGACACATACGGATTGAGTTGCTTGCCTTCTGTCTGTGTCTGTCTGTCTGGTCTGTGTGGTTCTCTGCATTGCATTGCAATCCGTCAGAGAGCTGCAGGCGCTGTACGTGTTAGTGTTGGACGCCCTCAACTTCTGCTTCTGGCCCACCGACCCAACACACACACACACCACCCATGGCAACGCCAATAACAACAACTCGTTCGAGTACGAGCATCTGGCAAGAGGCCTGCGCAGAGTGGCCACGGAGCGGCCACACGACCTCACACCCCACAGGCTGGCAAGCATCACAGAGGCGCAGCTGAGTGAGTGGCTCGGTGTGGGTGTGGGCGAGAGGGGTATGCTGTATCTGTGTCTGATGGACGAGAGGGTGCGCCTTGTGCGCCAGCTTGGGACGGCGCTGTTGGAGGGGTTTGGCGGCTCGGCCGTCAACATGGTGCGAAGGGCAGACCGGAGCGCTGTGGAGCTCGTCAGGCTCATCACGGCACACCTGCCCGGTAGGTAACTCTTCAACTCCCATCGACGCAACGCACACACGGTGCCATCCATCCATGTGTGTGTGTGTGTGTGTGTGTGTGTGTGAAAAGGGTTCCGTGACGAGGCAGTTTATCGAGGGCATCAGGTGGTGTTCTACAAGCGTGCTCAGATACTGGTGGCTGACCTGTGGGGCGCATTCGGCACCGCCGAGTGCGACGGGCTGTGTGATTTCCACGACATCGACCAGCTGACGCTCTTCGCTGACTACCGGTAAATCGGTACATACGTACGTGTGTGTGGATCGGACCCCTTTGGCCGGACGCCGGACCGACCCAGTTATTTGTCTTGGTCTGCTCGTCTCGTGTTTGTGTGCGTCTCTCAGGGTGCCGCAGCTGTTCCGCGAGCTGGGTGTGCTGGAGTACTCTGATGACCTGGACCAGTGCATCGCTTCACGGTCACCCATACACCCTGACTCGCCTCGCGAAGTCGAAATCAGAGCTGCGGCGATCGTCGCCTGCAGGTCGGCAGGCCACGCATCACGGCAATCTCATCGATAGTTCCTGATCTGATTGCTGTGTGGGTCTGTGTGGTGAAGGATGGTCCGTGACGGCCTCAATGGAGGCACGAGTCGCGGAGGGAAATCACACAAGTGGATGGACATCCAAGTGGACTGGCTGCTCTGGCAGGTCGGTGGGTCGGTCGCACCGGTCGGTGTGTGAGTATATATGTCATGTCAGTCAGTCACACAGCGAACCGAACACCCATATCAGGCCAGGTAACTTAGTGCTGTGTGTGTGTATGTGTGTGTGTGTATGTGTGTTGACGCTGTGCGTTCAGCTGGGCGAGAGGATGCGCGACACGATGCGGCCCCACCACCGCACTCTAACCGTCTTCTACTGAGCTAGCTAGTGAGGGGACTTGGCTTCCTTCCGTGACGGCTCATCGATCTGTGTGTTTGGTGTACAGTGTGTGTGCACTGCACGCGGTGGAGTGTGGGGTGATTGCGAAGGCGGACTTAATTCATGATGCTGTACTAACTGAGATATGTGCAAATTGCCTTCCAATGGTTACCATTCATCGGCACATTTGCACACACTCCCTGTACATTCGTATACGGAAGTCATCAATCGCAAGGGAAGGAAGATCATCATGGGAGGCGATGCATGCAAGCTCGCAACATGGGGGCTGGGGGCGTCTTCTCCTGTGCACATACCCTGATCAGGCGCCGTGTTGGGACGGTAGGCCGACGTCGAAAACTGTGACACTGTGGGACCTGCGCCTGTCGGGGCTGGCCGACGTCGAAAACTGTGACACTGTGGGACCTGCGCCTGTCGGGGCTGTTCTTTGTGTGTGTGCAGAAACATCTCACTCCATCCCATCACCCCTTAATTGCCGGTCCATTCAGTTCGTGAGGGAGAATCTGATCATGGCCCGTGTCTTGGCTATCTTGGCGTTCATCATGATGACGGTGGCGGCCGCCAACAGGATGGCTCAGGAGCGACACCGCGCCATGACCAAAACGGGCCTCGAGGTGCTCACGACTGGTGGTGCGTCGTAGGGCGAGACATACACACCGGACGGCTCACGCGTCAACGTGAATTGAATGGGCACTGTTCTCAATTGTTGTGTGCAGTCGTGTCAGCTGCGGCACAGGCGCTCGCGCAGGACGGTAAGCAATGCACTCGTGGTGGACTCATGGCCATACAAACATCATGATGTGCTTATCGGACCGATGAATGTGTGCAGCCCCCACATACAGGGGTTTCGAGACGACCCTCGAAGGTACGTAAGGCCCCCTCAAGGACCAAACCCATCCGTCACTCTCACACGGACACATTTGTATGCGGCTCCACACACAGAGTGCAGGGCGGACAGGGACTGCACGAAGGGAAGCTGCTTTGAGTCTTACCAGGGGTACAGTACCGACGGCGAGTGGATCTGGATGAAGAGGGAGTGCAAGCCCGCAGACAACCGTTGCCTGTGCTGGTTCCCAACAGGAGCCTAATCAACCAACCGACCAGCCGACCAAGCAGCGATACATGACATGACGAGGGTGTCAGCACCGAGACCAACCAACCAACCAAGCAGCGATCGACACCGACCGGCGTGCTTGATTGGACTCGACGACTCGACTGCATGCACGACTTTTGACACGAATGCACCACTCGTGGACAGGACACAGGGCAGCGGTCACGCGCGTCCATTCCATTATGTCCGCATCCATCCATCCACCCATCCATCCACAGGAATGGCCTTAAAAGACACACACACACACACACACACACAGACACCACACGACACACATACACACGGATTTGAAAATCTGAAGCTCGGGTAGGTAGGCGGCCACTTCGGTAAGAGTGCCAGACAGACAGACATTGCCGACAGCTATGTACATCCCCCATCCCTCCCTCCTTGTTAGTTGACGAGAGAGAATAATGACCGGCCTGGCCACACTTCATTCTCAGGCGACTCCCTCCCTCCCTCCCTCCCCTGTACACCTACGGTCGAGCATTGAATGGGTGAGGACGCACCAAGCAGCCACGCAGGTCGATAAAAGATCACTCCTCGGATGCACTAACTCGGGTCCACCATGCATTGATTGCATCATGATGGTGGTGCGTCAGGGCTGATGGGTTGGGATTGCTCTGGCAGAGATGGTGGCGATGCAGGCGATGGTGGCTGGGCTGATGCTGACGCAGATGGCTCGGGTGCAGCTGCTGGTGCTGGTGGTGAGCTGGCGGTGGTCATGTAGGCCTACAGGCAGACAGGCATCCATGGCATACACACACACACACATGCAGACGCACACAGGGGAGAGAAATCTGTGTATGTGGGTGGCTGGGTGGCTGTGGCTGGCTGGCTGGCATTGCTACCGATGCTTCTCTGGCCATCATGCTGGTGATCCGCTTGGCAAAGCTGCCGGGGTCCTCCACATTATACCCACCTACACACACAACACACACGACACACACACACAGAGAGAAAGAGATCAATCCCCTCCCTCCCCCTCTTCCTCTCTGTCTGTCTGCTCACTCACCCTGAAGGCATGCGACGTCATAGATGAGCGTGGCGACCTCCTTGTTGGCCTTAGCATTTTTGTCCTTTTTGACCATGTCGTTGAGCTGCTCGATGATGGGGTGGTCGGGATTGATCTCGAGGACGGCCTGGTTCATCGACATACCGTACATCTCGTTCTCCGACAGCCCCTGGGCGGCCGCCTGCTGCCGGATGTATCGCTGCATCGTGGGCGACATGCCGAACTCACCCTGCACCAGCACCGCCGGGCTCTCGGTGAGCCGGTCAGACACCACGGCACGCTGCACCTTCTTGCTGCCGAAAAAGTCTTGCAGCCACGTGCACATCCTAGACGCATCCACACGATAGATAGCAATGAACGATATCAGTGAGAATGCTCCAGGCAGCACGCAGGCAGGCAGGTACCCTTCCATTTCGATGCGTTTGGTTTTCCTCTTTTCGATCTGATCGGGGGTCTCCGCCTCAGGCTCAGCGAGCTTCAGGTCCTCCTGCACCACACACACACAGACACACACACACACACACACACGCCACTCGCATGCTGCGCGCTGGTCGGTCAATCCCCTCCCTTTGTCTCTTATTGTCTTTTTTCTGTCTGACCTTGGTGACATCGATGACCTCCTTGCCCCTGAATTTGTTGATGCCGAGGGACTGCATGCAGAACTCGTCGAGCGGCTCCGTCAGGTACAGCACCTCGTACTTGAGCTTCCGCAGCTTCTCCAAAGCCGGCGACTCCTCGGCGGCCTTGCGGCTCTCGGCAGCTATGTAGTAAATGGCCGTTTGGTTGGGCTTCATCCGCTCGATGTACCCATCTGAGCCAGGGAGACACACACAGAGAGGGAAAGGCATGTGTGTGTGGGTGTGGGTGTAGGTGTGGGTGTGTCACCGAGGTCGATTCGTTCGGTGCCTGATGAGGACGACCAGAATTGCAGGAGGGAGGCGATAATCTCCTGGTTGTCACGGTCCTCAACCACACCCACCTGACAAACACACACACAGGATGAGGCATGTGATTCATGTCTCCATCCATCCGTCCGTCCATCCATCCATCCATCTCTCTCTGCAGGTTAGGCTGCGTCTCGGCACACAGAGAGCGCAGCGCAGCGCACCTTGAGGTATTTTCCGAAGTTTTCCCAGAACTTGTTCCACTGGTCGCCGCCCTTGTCGCGTATTTTGCGGATCATGTCGATGGCCTTGTTGGTGATGCGCTTGTTGATGATCGTCAGCATCTTGCTCTTCTGCAGGATCTCGCGGCCGACGTTCAAGGGCAGATCCTCGCTGTCCACCACACCTCGGATGAAGGTCAGCCACCTGCACACACATACACACACAGAGAGAGAGGGAGAGAGTGTGGTGGTGACTGACATGAAGCCATCCATCAAAGCGATCCATCCCTCACCGACCGAGGAATGGCCTCCTGGAACTTGTCGTTGATGAACACGCGCTTGACATAGAGCCGAATCCCCCTGCTGTCGTCATCGAACATGTTCCTTGTCAGCTCCCAGGGGATGCTCCCGGGGATGAACAGGACACTCGAGAACTCCACCTGCCCCTCCACTTTGAAGTGGATGTAGCCGAGGGGGTCGTCGTAGGCCTTGAAGGTCGACTTATAGAACTCGTTGTAGTCGTCGTCCACAAGGTCGGCCGGATTGCGACGCCATATGGGCGGCTGCGTGTTGACGCGCTCCCACTCAAAGTAACTACCACACACACACACACCCACACACACACACACGGAGAGAGAGAGAGATGGGGGCGGGGAGACGGGGGGAGGGGGAGGAGGGCTGCTGGCATTTACTCACTCACCGCTTTGTAACGGTTTTCATCTTGGGTGTCTCGCCGGGCTTGCTGGGTGCATCGGGGTCGGGCACGCGCTCATAGTCGACCTTCTCTGACCACACCTGCACACAACACATTACACCAACGACACAATGTGTCGGTGGCCTGCCTGCCCGAGTGGATGTTGTGTTGATGGTGTTAATGGTGTTGATAGGTGGCTTGGCTTGGCAAGCTTGGCTGCCTTAATCACCGAGATTGGGAACTGAATGAACTCAGAGTATTTCCTGAGCAGTTCTTTGATCTTGTAGTCCTCCAGGTACTCGTCGCAGTCCTCCTTGAGATGCAAGATGATGCGTGTCCCAGAACCTGCCAGCCCCGCCCCGCCCCGCCCCCCCACACGCACAGGCACCGAGGAAGGAAGAGCTCAGCAGTTGGATGGATTGGTTATGTGTGTGTACCTCACCTTCGATCTCCTCTGAGTTGTCAGGTCCGACAGTGAAAGTCCCACCAGGCACGGAACACCACCTGCAGTGAGTGCACTCACACACACACACACATCTCATGTGGATTGATTGGATGCCTCTCTGCTCTGCAGGCCAGGCCTGTGTGTGTCCATCCATTCACTACATACCGATGTTGTTTGTCCCCGAATCGCTTGGACACCACCTCCACTTTGTCGGCCACCAGGAAGGACGAGTAGAAGCCCACACCGAACTGACCGATCAGACTGCTCTCAACCGAGCCCTCGGCGACCTACACGCACATACACACACGTATACACACACAAGGACAGAACAGTGCGTGCCGGGGAGAGGAGCGGGGGCGTGTTGGTGGCATCGCATAGCGTCCGTCCCACGTACGTGCCCACCTGTTGTAGGAACTTGGCCGTGCCTGACTGAGCGATGGTGCCGAGGTTGTTGACGAGCTCCGTCTTGTTCATACCGATGCCCGCGTCCTCCACAACCAAGACCTTCTGCTCCTTGTCGGCCTATCACACACACACACACACACACACACAGACAGACAGAGAGAGAGAGAGAGAGTAAGATGTGAATCCTGCACCCCCACCCACACAGGCGGGCCCGTCCTCTCCTCCGTACCTACCTTGATTTTGACGCCGCCCTCTCCGTTGTAGACGCCCTCCTTCATCATGAGGAGCTTCCTCTTGTCACACGCATCTGCGGCGTTGGAGACCAGCTCCCGCAGGAAGACGTCCTTGTCGGTGTAGAGCGAATTCACAATGATGTCCATCACACGCGACACCTCAGCCTGATAGACAGACAATCGACACACAAAAAGGGAAACAAACAGCACTCACTGGCGATTGAGAGTGGAGTGCGCGTCTGCCTGCAGGTGGCTTGGCTTGCCGACCTGAAAGGCGTATGTTTCCGTCTCCTCGGTCTCAGGAGCCTCTGCCTGAGGCGCCTCGGCAACCTGCACACACACACACCAACAGACACACACAAACACAGCCACACACACACAGAATGCACGAAGAAACAAAGTAAAGCGCAGATCTTCGTCCGTCCGTCCGCTCTGCCGTCGTCAGTGCCTCATGGCATCCTTCCATCTTACTCTCACTCACCGCAGTGCTCATGCGAAGACGTGTCGTCGACGGCCGGATGTGCTGTCGTGGCTGGTGCACCGCACTGCTGCTCCTGCCGTTCGTGCTCGTCACCCTCCCCGAGTGCATGACGAAGGCAGGCTCTCGCCTCACACTGAACCCATTGATGCCCTCCGTGGTCAGGGCAAGGGCGGATATCACCAACATCCACGATACCGGTGCCATGGCGGCAAGATCAAGGTCACACTGCCTCTGCTGGGATAAGCCACAAGCGCAGAAACGATGAGATCTGCTGGCGATCGGTTGCGCGCTTGTCTCGCCACACGCGTCGGATTTCCCTCCGGATGTTTCGATGTGAGTCGTCGCTGTGTCTGATTCATCCATCCGGCTCGAAGATGCCTGGCGGGTCAATTCAGTACGGGCTGCTGATCTGCGTGTGGCTGACCATCTTCATTTCTCAGTTGGCAAATACTATGATCACCCCCGTACTGCCGCACCTGTTCGGTCCTCAAGCCGATTTGGAGCTGGCTGTGGTCTATATGGTGCGGCCTGCGGCGTCGCTGCTCTCTGCCGCCTTTGTGGGTCACCTGGTAGACGTCAAGGGATGGAGATCCACCATCGGCATACCGGTAATACTATGTGATGGGCCAAAACACAACACTCAGAGAACGGCAAACGGCCAGCTATCTATAGATCATTTGGCTGGCGTCTGTGTGTGTCGCTGTGCCATCAGTATGTCTTCTTTGTGGTGGGTGCCTTTGCCTTTCTCTACAACCATCCGTCCACCGCCCCACCGCCCACCGAGCCCCTGTCCGCCGCTTTCTATGCCAAGGTAGCTGTGTTCGCCATCGGCAGGTTCCTGCAGGGCATCGCCGACTCATTCATGTGGGCGGCCGGGCTGACGGCCATCATCTGCACCCACAAGCGGGAGCACAGCGCGGCCTTGGGGGCGCTGGTGCTCACTGCCGATGCCGGCAGTGTGATCGGCCCTGCTCTCGGGGGTTTTCTCTACGATGGTGGGGGCTCTTGGCTCGCCTTTGGTAGCCTCGTGTTGCTCACCTTGTCTGTGTGGGCCCTGGCAGGTCAGGAGGGAGGACTCATCATGTGCACATGAGTATGTCGCGCATTGGCTTGTGTGTCTCATCTTAGCGGCGCTCCAGCCTCTGTTTCCGACGGAGGACGTCATGGAGGATGACCTCGACGACCTGCTCCAGCTATGGTCGCCATCGCGGGCTGGCGACGAGGTGGCGGACCCGCACAGGCAGTCGCCCACGGCCGACTACGTCCCACTGGCTCCGTCCTTCCCCTCGCCCCTCACCGCCAGCCATCGAAGCGGCGAAGGCGACACCGACGGCAAAGTCGGTTCTTCTCTTCTGTCACCTCTCAAGCTGGAACCGAGGAAAAGCCAAGAAGGTGCGTGTGCCGAGGAAGTGTTGTTTGTGTGACATAGAGATGGTGGGTGTGGGTGTGGGTGTGGGTGTGGGTGTGTGTTGCAGAAGAGTGGGTGGATGTCGGCGGCGGTGGTGCCATTGTCGAGAGGAAACCGCCCGACGACCACACTCAGAAGCGTCAGTGGAGCTCCCTCGCCGCCAACGACCACCGGGCCGTCATCGCGGTCGACACCTTCTCAGCACTCCCGCCACAATCTCCCCCATGGGACGTGCCACACATGACAGAGGTCGACGACATCGAGTGCAACAACCACCACCCACAGCCACAGCCACAGCCACAGCCGAACCTCTCTCTCCACCGAGACAACCACAAGCAATTTGCAAAGGAGCAGCAGCAGCAAGAGGGAGAGGGAGACGGCCAGAACGACCAGCTGTTGGATGAGTCCCAGCTGTCGGTCTGCGGCCGTCGGCGCGACTCCACCGCCGCGCCCATCTCCATGTGGCTCTCGTCGAGGGCCTCACAGAGCCCCTCCTCACCTGAGGCAGAGGCGGCACGCCCTGCGCCGCTGGAGAGACGATCCAAGACAGAGCCGTCAGTGGCGGTGCCCACAGCCACAGAAGCAGTCGACACGAGGAAACCGGAACCACCACCATGGCCAAGGTCGAGGGACAGCGAACAGGGGGTGGCTGTGGAGGGTGTGGGTGTGGGTGTGAGTGTGGGCGCCGCCCCTTCCCAGCAGCCGGCTGTGGTGGGTTTGGCTGACTCGATGGCGAGTTTGGCGAGTGAAGCCGGGCCCACCAGCTACCGTGTGCTCATGGAGTGGCACTTCGGCGTGTTGCTCATGAGCGAGCTGTGGGTCTACTGCGCCCTCGCCGCGCTCTTCAGTGTCCTCCCAGTGCACTGGAAGCAGGCCTACAACCTCGACGCGTCTCGCTCGGGCGTCCTGCTGCTGCCCCTGACGGCCTGCAAAGTCATAGAGGGGCTGGTGGTGCCCATCTTCATCCCCTTTCTGTCCCGCAAGACGTCCCGGCCGCTGTACCTTCTGTGTGTGGTGTCGGTGCTTGTGGGAGGTGTCTCGCTATATCTCATTCTGAGGGGGACGGAGGGCACCGACAGCGAAGTGGCGTGGCTGGCTCTGTTTGGCGTGAGCTATGGCATATATGACCCTCTGTCCCAGGCCTTCTCGATGCAGGTGGGTGTGGGTGGTTGGCGGTCACGGCACACAGGGGAGGGAGACACAAGGGAGGGCGATGTAGAGAGGGAGAGAGGGAGGGAGGGAGGGAGGGAGGGAGAGAGAGGGGGAGCGATGGAGTGGTGTGTGTGTGTCCTGTACTGCCATGTGTGTCAGTATGCGATGGATCGCGGGCTGACCAGCTCGTTCGGCAAGATGCAGAGCTGCCTCGAGGTCGCCGGACACCTCGGCATGTTCCTAGGTCGGTTATCTCACCTCTCCCCACACCCACACCCACACCCACATGCACATGCACATGCACGCGCATCTCTCCCTTCTATCTCGGTTCTCAGGTCCCGTGATACTGGGCGTGGCTCCCGCCTTATCCGTCCGCACCGGCATGACTGCGGTGGGCGTCTGCGGGATCGCCGTCGGCCTCCTCGCGGCCGTCTCATTCGTCTTCTTTAGACCCGAGAAGTTCGCCGCCTCCAGACGGGCCGCGCGCTTCCACGCCCTCCTGCGGCTGAAGCGCGGCATGGGGCTGAGGAAGCGATGGGTGGCGCGGTCACTCCGACACCGCATACACGTGTGGCGGTTCCGGCGGTACCAGAGCGATTTGGGGGGTGCCTTGCTGAACCAGGGTGTGGCCGAGAGTCTGCTGGATCGCCACCATGGGGACGGCTCGACGCCCCCTCACCATATGCATGTGAGTGTGGCGCCGCCTCCGTTGCCGAGGATAGAGGCAGAGGAGGGCGGGGGGGCGTATCGGTATCAGCACATGGACATGGCGGCGCTGAAGGAGATGAAGGAAGAGCACCCCCACCTGTTTGACACGCTTTAGTTCGGTCGGTCACAGAGACAGACAGAGGGAGAAAAGTCGAGATCGAGATTTTTGGCGTATACGAGAGAGAGAGAGAGAGAGAGATGGGACGCTTTTTCGTGCGGTGTCGCTTGGTGTAGCACCAGGATGAGCGCCTGCCGTCTTTTGGGCAGGCCGTTGTTGCTGCTGACATTTTCTCTTTTCGCTTCTGCTGCGATATGGGTTGCCACCTGTTTGCTTCTTTGCCTCCTACTGGCCGGCCTCTTTTGACCCAAGGGGTGTGTGCTCACGAGGGCGTGATAGATAGGCAAACAGATGCCGACCTGCGTGCAGCGAAGTTTGTGAGTTGGCTGATGAGAGAGAGAAGGATCTGATACGTTATATCACGCGGAATCGGAATCTATTGTGCACGCGCATGCGAGTGGATGCACTGTCCATCGCCCACACATACGAAGACACAAAAGTTATACAACTCACTCACTGCCGTCACACGCCTGGACACTTGACCTTTGTCGTCGTGAGGTGTATGAGATGACGACAGCCCTCGTGACGTGACAGGGGCTGTGCCTCATGCACCCCACGATGACAACGACCAGATGTCCGACCGTATGCATATGCATGGCTGTGGAAAGCCGATGGATACGACGAAGCGCGACATACACAATAAACAAACACCCTGCAGTCAGTGCTGCCTTCATTACTTTTGTACACAACCCCCTACACACCACTCACCCCAATCACTCAGTCTTCTTCTCCTCCGGCGCCACCTCACCGCCCGTCCGCTTCCGTCGCGTCAGCACCATCATCAGCAGCGAGAATACCGTCCCCAGCATCACCGACACACCCACGGCCACACCCACATGCACCGGGTGCTCCTTGGCGAACCTCATGCTCATGTCCAGCAGCAGCATGGCCTCCTTCTTGAGCTGGTCCAGCAGCGACTCGGGGGGCGGGACGGGCTTGCCGGGCGTCTTTTTGTACCCCCCTGTGGCGAAGGCCTCGAGGGCCGCCAGGTCGCGGGCACCCTTGTACTCATACATGCGGCCCTGACGCAGAAGCAGCAGCGTCGGGAAGCCCTGAGAGAGTAAGGGAGGGGAACGGACGGCGGATTGGATTGAGCCATACATATCATCCCCCTCCCTCTGGTGATCGATCTTGTCTGTCGTCAGGCAGGCAGGCAGGCACCTCACTCACCTGGATGTTGAATCTGCTTCGTGTGGATGTGTTGGCGTCGCAGTCGACCTTGGCCACCACCACGCGGCCCTTAAGGTTGGCTGCTAGCTCCTCCCAGGTCGGCTGCAGCCGCTGGCAGTGACCACACCTGAGTGACAAGTGACGAGTCCATCCATCCACCCTGATGAGTCTCTCTCTTTCTGCGTAGGTAGACCAATTAGCGTAGAACTCGATGAACCAATCGCCTGTTGTCGCACCGCTTGACGCCTGACGGCATTCATCGACCAACATCAACACACAAACACCCGCACAGGCATGCACAAGTGTTTTGTTTGCCAGAGGGCAGGGCTCCGCTCCCATTACCTACCTTACCTGTGTGTCGTGTTCGAAGTTTGCATCTGTCAGAACGCGCACGGCGCTCTTGGCTGTGCTGTCGCCCGTGGCCACATCCGCAGTGCCCAGCAGGAGCAGAAACGACGCTGCCGTGCACCGGAGAATCATCGTCTTTTCTGCTGCTTCTTTCGCTATTCAAAGATGCTACTCGAACAGTCAGTGCACCGTCCTTTGGAGAAGCTCAGATCTCCGCTTTGTCAATCCACTCGAAGCTCGCAGCCCTCCGGGCGGCTTTCGCGGAAGCATGGCTCAGCGCAGTAACATACAGATCTTGTCGCACGGTTGCAGCAATAAGCAGATCTTGTCACTTGATGGAAGGTTTTGTCAATGAAAAGCTTGTTCCGCCCTGAGGTGGCGCACCACATCTCATCTGAAAGGGCCCGTCCCGGTAAGTAAGGTAAGGAATGGCACGCCAGCAATGCACTGTCCCCAGGCAAAGGGCATGACCATCTGTCTGCGCGTTGTTTCTCTTTGCAGATACATAAATACACACATTGGTCCTTGGAGGGTGTCGTCCGCTCCGCCCATTGTGATGCCTCCTGCCCTTCACCCTTACAAGCCGCCATCATGGGCCGCACATCTGACGCCGCCCAAGCTGCGGACAGCACTCGCAATAGGCGCACCCACACCCATCACGTACCAACGACCCATGAATGGGTACCAAGGTTGGATGGATGGATGGACGTGTGGTGCAGGCCCTGGTCAGTGCCTGGTCTGCCTGCCGGTGTGGAGCTGTGGATCAAGAGAGACGACTTCACAGGCGTGGAGCTCAGCGGGAACAAAGTCAGTATGTACTGACTAGCCAACCAGTCACTCATACACGATCATTCCACTCGCCGCTTCGTTCGTTCGTTCGTTCGTTCGTTCGTTGGTTCGTTCGTTCGTTCGTTCGTTCGTTCGTTCGTTGGTTCAGGTGCGGAAGCTGGAGTTTCTGATGGCTGATGCGGTGGACAGGGGGCATGACAGTGTCGTCACGGTCAGCAACCGCACCGCAAACACGCCACAATGGTGGTCAAGCCTAACTAACAGGATCTGTGTGTCTGTTCTGTTTGTCAGATTGGCGGCATTCAGTCGAATCATTGCCGCGCCACGGCAGTGGCCGCACGGATGTTTGGCCTGGAGCCACATTTGATTCTGAGGATACCCGAGAAGACACACACTGACACCGACAAACCGGTCGGTGGGTGAGCCAGACCACATACAGACAGACAGACGCGGAGGACACAGGGAGGGAGGGAGGGAAGCTGTGTTGTGTTGTGTGTTTGGTCGTGCAGTCAGCGGGGTTGACGGGCAATCTGTTGGTCGACCGTTTGATGGACTCGAGGCTGTGGCTCGTGTCAAAGGCCGAATACAGACACCATGGCAGGTGCGTGGCGTGGACAGACAACCCACAGGCCATCACACACAGATACAGACGCGCACACACTCACAAAAAGAGATGGATGGAGGCCATCACGACCATTGATGGCTTGCTGGCTGGCTGGATGATTGGATGTCTGTGTGTGTGTGCAGCGAGAAGCTGCTCGACATGGTGGTGTCCCAGCTAAGGCAACAGGGCAAGAACCCTTATAAGTAAGCAGTCAGGCAATCAATCAGCCGATCAATCACCACACCGAACCAACCAACAACACCTCCCCCACATGATGTTGTGTGTGTCTATCCCTTCACTCAGGATACCTGTGGGCGGCTCAAACGCACTGGGCACGTGGGGGTACATCGAGATGGTCCGCGAGCTGGAGCAGCAGCTGGCGGCCGACCCGCTGGGCATCACTGACATCGTGATAGCATGCGGCAGCGGCGGCAGCCTGGCCGGCACCGCACTCGGGTGTCACCTCAGCCCTCAGATGGGCGACGTCAGGGTGCACGGGATATGTGTGTGCGACAATGAGGGCTACTTCTTCAACCACATCGACACCAAGATCTACCCTGGTACGCAGTATGGGAGCTGAGCTCAGGAGAGCTTCTGAAGTAGATGCCTGTGTGTATGTGTGTGTGTGTAGGGATGGGCCATGTCGATGGACCGATGAGCCGGTCCCTGGTGTCGCTGGTGGAGGCCGCTGGCCTCGGGTACGGCATCAGTCGACCAGAGGAGCTCGACACCATCGCCACAGTGGCAAAGGCCACTGGAGTCATCCTGGACCCAGTAAGTGACCAATCCACACACGCACACACAGCTGCCAGCAACACTCACTCGCTACCCTGTGTGTGACACCGTGTGTGGTGTGTGGTGTGTGTAAAGGTGTATTCTGGCAAGGCTGTCCACGCGTTGCTGCGGTGTCTGCGCGAGGAGCCGCGTCGGTTCAGGGGCTCGCGCATTCTGTTCGTCCACACGGGTGGGCTGCTGGGGATGTACGAGAAGGCCCCACAGCTAGAGAGGCTGCTGCCTGAGGAACACTCCACTCACTACCTCTTACCCATAGCTGAGACAAAGAATCATGGCACCGACAAGGAGAGAACCAGCAGCAACTGACATATGATACATCCAACACGACGGTGTGTGGATAGCATCTGATGTATCGATGAATGACGAGCGGCGGTTTTGCCGCCAAGTGAGTGCATGGCCATGGTGCTGCAAGCAAAGCGCAGCCTTGCATCAGGCGAAAGCAACGAAAGAGCAAGCCCATTGAGCCCCACTGCAGAGATGTCCAGTGCCAGGACATGGTGCTAGCTCAAAAATCGCTTCCACACACTCTCTCCAACGCTCTGTTCGAGTGGCCACGATGGTGCTTGATTGTCTGAAGCCGCTCACTAGAGGCCGGTCAGCGTCAGCGCGCGACAGCATTTCCACTTGCCCCGCCGCTGCCATGCGGCAAGAGGAGAGGCGACGGACGAGGCGCGTGACGCTCTTCCTCACCCTCTGCTCAGTCTGTATGCTCCTCAACTTCTTATGCCGGTGAGTTGAGTGGTGACTGCTTCTCATGCCAATGCAATGCATGTGTGGCTGGCCAGTGAGTCCCTCACCGTCTTTCTGTCTGTCTGTGTGTCTGTGTGTCTGTGTGGTGGCCTGCAGGCAGTGTCTTGCGAGCGTGATGGTGCCGATGGCGAGGGAGTTCTCATGGGACAAGTCCACGCAGGGCTTCGTCCTGCAGGCCTTCTACTGGGGGTATGCGCCGGCCCAGCTGCTGGGAGGGTGGCTTGCCGACGCGATGGGGGGGCAGATGGTGCTGTTGGCGGGCATCATTGTGTGGTCGGCCGCCACCGCACTCACACCTTTATCGGTAAGGGGAGGGGCACACAGACAGAGCAGAGAGGAAGAGGGGCATGATGAGATGACCGCCAGTGCAGTTCACTGCCTGCGGACTCCCTCCCCTCTCGTCATGATCAGGTGAAAATCGGCGGCCTGCCGCTCATCTTTCTGGTCCGGCTTGTGGTCGGCGCTTCTCAAGGCGTTGCCTTTCCGGCCATCAACGCCATGATCGGCAAGTACGTCCCCTCCAACCTCCACTCCATCGCGGCCGCCTCCACGACCGCTGCTGCTTATCCCGGTGTGGTTCTTGCCTTCTTCATCACGCCGCTGTTGGTCGAGAGTCAGCTGCTGGGCGGGTGGCCTTTGGTGTTTTACGTGTACGCTGTGATGGCGGTGCCGTGGATACCTTTATGGTGCGGGATGGGCACAGAATTGGGTGTAGACGAGGGACAGGGAGATGCCAGAGAGCTGGCACCAGTCAAGCAGCCAGACAAAACCATGAGTGGCGATGAGGGCATCAGTGGTGATGGTCACGTGGCTTCTTCTTCTTCTCCTTCTCAATCTTCTTCTGTGGCTGATGGTGGCAGGCTGGCGACATCCCCAAGACGGAGACTCCCCCACAACACCACCAAGAACCATCACCGTCAAGACGACTCATCCCCCTCATCCTCACCACTGCTGTCCCACCAGGACCACCACCAGGACCATACAAACGGCACAAAGGCGGCAGCAGCCCATCCACCATTAGGTGGGTCCCTCTACGACGAGGAGGCAACCACCCCATGGCGAGATGAAGAACAGGGGATCTCAGCGTCAGCAGCAGCAGCGGGCGACATCAGCCCGACAATGCCCTGCCTCGCGCGAAGGACCAGCAAGCCTGAGGACGGCAGGCGGCGGCGAGGGGGGGCTCTGCATGGGGAGATGGGGGTGCTGGTGGACTTCCTGCAGCACAGGTCTGTGTGGGCGCTGCTGATAGCGCAATACTGCCACTGCTGGCCGCTGATCGGGCTGCTCAACTGGCTGCCGGTTTTTGTCAGCGACCGGTGAGAAGGGAGAGACTGAGTGCTAGCTGTGCGTGCAGAAGTGTCAGTCAGTCCATCGTTGTCTCGATTGTGTGTGTGTGTGTGTGTGTGTGTAGGTATCACGTTGCGATGAGCGGCCTTGGGTACTACACGTGTGTGCCCTACATCGTGCAGTCATGCACCGGCTTCGCAGCCGGCACACTGGCCGACCACCTTATCAACGTCGCCAGGTGCGGTGCAGGAAGGAGCACCGAAGGAAGAGTCACAGACAGACAGACCGACGGCCAGTCAGCGCCAATTTGCCTGTCTGTCGTCTGTCCCTGCTTTCCTATTGATTGCATCCCTCGTGGTGCAGGTGGCGCGTGCGGACGGTCCGCCGTGTGCTGCAGGTGTTCGCCATGGTGGGTGCCGCCACGGGGCTGCTGGGTGTGGGCTTCGTGGCCTCCACACCACTCGAGGCGACACTCTTCCTCTCGCTGGCTGCCGGGTGCCACGCTTTCGCCTATGGTCGGTGCCATGGATGGATGGATGGACCCATGTGACAAAGCACAGACAGCCCAGGCCGCCTTTGTCTGTCTCACTCACTGTGTGTGTGTGTCACACGTGTGCAGGTGCGATGTGCGCGAATCACCTGGACCTGGCACCCAGCAAGGCCGGCCTGCTGTTCTCTGCCGGCAACACATGCGGGATGGTCGGGGGTCTGGTGGCGGTGCCTGCCGTGGGCTTCGTGCTGGAGAAGGCCCACGAGTACGGCCTGTCCGACGCCCACAGATGGGGGGCGGTGTTTGCCTTGTTCGCCGCGCACTACCTGGTGGGTGCGTCGGTGTGGATGTCCTGGTGCTCCGACAAGCGGATCGACAGTGAGCACCGCTGTCGACAAGAGCAGCCACCATCACCAGCAGCAGCAGCAGCAGCATTAGCGGGAGGGGCGAGGGGGAGGAGGGTGGGCGCGTGACTGACTGATGTGGTGGCTGGCTGGCTGGCTGTGTGTGTAGATCCCTTTCTCTGTTGTGTGTGTGTGTGTGTGTGTGTGTGTGTTGATAGCTCATCGATAGCTCTTGCTTGCTGCAGTCCGTCCGTCCGGCCATCCACCCACCTGTAGACTACCTACTGACTGTATGTGTATGCGTGTTATACGTGTGGTGACTGCGAAGCAGATGTGGTGTGGTGTTCCTCCTCTTTTTCTCTGTCGCTGCTTTTTTCCCTCCCTCGGCAGCTAGCTTCTTAGCTTGCTGCTTCGGTGCTGCTTTGCATTGCTTTGGTGGCCCCTGCAGATGCAAATCGCCACCCGAGCAGGCAATGCAGCATATATTTAGTTGGTCAGTCAGTGCCTGTCTGTGTTGTGTGCGTGAGTGCCTGAGTGGTGTGCGTGAAGCGCTCTCCTGCCGTGATCGATCGTGGCACCCACTGGGAGGGAGGGGGGGATGGAACCTTGAGTCATGCACGTCAGTCAGGTGTGTGGCAGTGAGTGCATATGCCAGGGATGTGTGTCATGGACGCAGGCGAGACGAGCACACGCATGAATTAAAATGGATGTCTGTGGTGGATGGATGGATGGACACGCACACGACGTACAGAACATGTGCAGTGAGTGCAGTGCACTCAGGAGCCACACAAGTAAAGAGATAGAGAGATAGGTACCTGCGCAGGTCGTGTCTGTCGTGCTCCGCAGCAGATTAGATTAAACACTCTACCTAGCAATACCAATGCTGACACCGACACCAATGTCAATACCAATGCTGACGAACCAACCAACCAGCCAACACAATGCATGATATGTAGATACTTACCCACATGTGTGTGGTGTGCACAGACAAACAAATATGAAGACATACATACAAAGGGCGGGACGGGACGAAGGGCACCGCCATGCATTCACACACACGCGCACTCATAGACATGTGTGTGTGGAGAGGTACACACAGCTCATCACATGAACACACACAGACAGACAGACAGACAGACAGTTTGCAAAAAACGTTCGCCGCACACCTCATGACAATGACATGATGTCTCTCTCGGGGCAGGGAGGGCAATGATTGAATCCCTCCAGCCGTCCCTTCCTTCTCACTCCTTCACGTGCTGCCGCCCTGCTGTTGCCTCTTCCGCAAAGATGCCATGTACGCTGCACCCACACCACACACAACACAACACAACACTCATCGATGAGTCAACCAGTGGTGTCTCTTTGCTCGACTAACCAGGGTCAGGGGGTATCTCCCTGGGAATGCTGGGGCCGTTGTCGTCCTCCACTGACATCTCCACACCAACCACACTGCTCGTGGCTGCACACACCACACACACACACACATCCATTCATCCATCCCTGCCGCCCTCCCTCTCGGTCTGTCTCTCTGTCTGTGTGTCTGTGTGTGTGTGTGTGTGTGCAGGGCATACGGCATGTCTTGGGCCCCGAGACGGATGGGGTGTCGCCGCCCCACCTGATTACCCTCCCTTGGTCGGTGGCCTTGAGCCAGCAGTTGACACTCGACATCTCCGTGAACCGCGGCAAATAGGTGAAGAACAGACAACGGTCGTCCTCCTGACACGCCAGCTGACACCCCTTGGGCGATGACACCTTCACGCCGCCTACGTCGTTGCCCAGGTAGTCAGCATACTCGAAGCAGTGCTCCTCTAACCCGCGGGTGGCCCATCCGTCTCCGTCTCCGTCGGTCTCTGTTGCTGTGTCGGTGCTGCTGCCGTCCTCCTCGTCTTCTTGTTGTTCCTCCTCCTCCATGTCGATGGGCGCTAATGTTGGGATGTCATCGGCTGTCCGTTGGGTGGCCATGATGCCATCGGTTGGAATGGGTGTGGTGCTGCTGCTGCTGCTGGTGGGGAGAGGGGTGCTGGAAATGGTGGTGGTGATGTCTCCCTCCTGCTCCTGCAGGACCTCGTCGATCTCCTTCTGCAGGTCGCCGTAGTACTCGTCGACCAGCGGGGCCTGCGAGGCGCCATAGTAGTCTCCATACGCCCCATCGCCGTAGTACTCGTACCCACCGTCATCTCCGCCCTCATCCACACCCACACCCTCCTCACTCTCCTCACTCTCCTCACTCTCCTCACTGTCGTCGTCAATCGGCGCCTCCCCGAATATCTCCGGCTCGGTGTAGGGGATCAACTGCTCCTGCGGCACCAGCACGAGTGGCTGCCCATTGTGGATGACCACCTCTAGCCCGCCGGCCTGCACGGTCGTGTCGCACGTGTCGGTGAGGACATTGCAGAGGACGGTGTCTTTGGTGTAGGAGGGGGGCAGCTCGGCCGTGGGGATGAACCGCTGGTTACCCTTGCCGGAGCCGAGGTTGGACGTGACGACTAGGGTGTTGTTGCGGGAATACACGTACAGCCAATCCTCTACCTGCAGAGACGGCGAAGTGGGCAAGGTGTGTTTGGGGTGTTCATGGATGTCCTGCGTACGTGTCTCTCTTGCTGTGGTCCGTCGAACACCCCTGCGACCCTGTGTGTGATCATCCGCCTGATTAGCTCGTAGTAGACGGCCTCCTGGTCATAGCCCTTGTACCACAGCGGCTCTCGATGACCTGATAGCAACACACACCCACACCCACACCTACACATCCTTCCCCCCGAAATGTGCGTCTCCTTCCCATTTCCCGCTGACCGTACCGTTAGTCATTGCCTGCTCGGAGCCGTAGTAGACGATGGGAATGTTGTCGGCGGCGAGTATCCATGTGAGCGCATTGGTGAAGAGGGTCCAGTCGGGCTGCATGTTGAGGAACCGCTTCATGTCGTGGGACTCCACAAACAAGGCCAACGCGCTGACGTCCCTGAGACGGACGATAGGTGAAGGGATGGCGGTCGCTGGGTGGGGCGGGTGGACGGTGCAGGTGTGTGTGGGTCTGGTCTGCGTGTGTGCGTACCTGACTTCCTTCATGAGCTCTCCCCAGATCCACTTGACGCCATAGAGGCTCTCCTTCTGCCCGAAGCTCTTCCGCAGCTGAATGGCCATCGGGTAGTTCGTCACCTGAAGACCACCCCAACCCAACTCACACCCACAGTGGATGGATGGACGGCGATCCATCCACCACACCAGCCATTCACTCACTGACTGACCCCATCCATGAGCTGCCGTTGCTTCCACTTGTTGAATTGGTACCAGGCCATGTCCTTGACCAGCGGCATGAAGGCCTCCCCGATGGTGAATGTGTGGTTGGACAGCCGCTCCCACACCTCGGCCAGCGTGTCGTACTGCAGGTGCACGATGGCGTCCATCCGGTACCCGTCAAACTCGTATTTGAGCACCTGGTGCTCCGCCCAGTCTATCAGATACTTCCTGCACACGTGCCAGGGAGGTAATACACACAGGGGTGGGTCGGGAGGAGTGAGTTTCGGTCACTTTCACGCGCGCACAGAGGCCTACCGGACGGCGTATATGTCGTCATTGAGGTCAGGGAGCCCCATGAGCCAGCAGTGGCGGACGGCGTATCGGTCGTTGTAGTCCATGGGACAGTGCTCGCGGTAGTAGACGGTGTCGTTGAAGGGCCACAAGTTCTCGATTGGCTCCTCCATGCTCATGTGGTTCAACACTGCCATGTCATGATAGACACACGCGCTGTCGGCCATCATGTTTTGGTTGGCTCGTTGATGCACACGCTTGCCTGTGTCCATGACGATCCATATGTCGAGGTCGTGGGCGCGCTTGACCAGAGCGTACAGTTCATCTTCCGTCCCAAAATGCTCATTCAACTCGGCGAAATTCTTCGGCCAAAACCCTGACACACGCCGACAACACACACACACACACAGCCTCCCTACTTTGTGCTCACCAGGCCGTCCGTCCCCCTCGCTCACCATGGTAGCCGCATTTGGTGTTTTGGACGTGTGGGGAAATCCATATGGCGTTGAACCCCATGCCCTTGATGTACCCCAGCTGCTCCCGCAGCCCCGCCCAAGTGCCGCCGCAGTAGCCCCCGTTCTCGCAGCCGTCCTTCCAACACGTCCCCTGCTTCGTACCCTGCTGCCCGCCCTCAAGGGCAAAGCGGTCCGTCACCACCTGATAAATCACACGGCGAGAATCCACCCACTCGTCACGAGTCTTCGCTTGGCAAAATGACGACAGCAGCAGGAGGGAAGACGTCAGCAAGAGGGAGGGGCGGAAGGGGGTGGAAGGGGATGGCCGGGATGATGGTGGTCGTTGGCGTGATTGTGTCCTTGTACGTTGCCTTGAGCTGTCGGCACGGCCACCGCCATCGCTTGCAGACGGTGGGGAGATGGCGTCGCTTCTTTTGCCTGTCGTCGTTGTGCGGCATGGCGGCATACCTCGTTCTCTGGGAGGATGCCCTCAATCCTTGTATTATTATTTCGTATTGGGGCCGCGGGGGGCAGGCCCGCCCACCTCTCCCTCCCTCCTGTCGTTCTGTTTTCCCCGATGGCCAAAACCGTTGAGAAGGAGTTCGGCCTCGACTTGTGGCTCTTCTGCGTGGTGTTCGTCGCTGGTGCGGCCCTTCTGTTCCTGGTGCCGATTCTGTGGTGCATCATGCGCAAGGCCAATTTGATGCGGGAGTACAGGCCAAAAGGGACGCTGGAGGCCAACGACTTCGTCAAGCAAGTGGTGGACGAGGCGGCCGCCAGGGGAACACTCGCAACATGCAAGGCGTGATGTCATGGTGATGGATGGATGGAGGGGGGGGAAGGAGGAGGGAGGAGGAGAGGCTTGTGATAGCTGTTGGTTGGTGAACAAAGTGAATTGGATGCTGATTTGGTGCTACTGGCGATCATCTGCTTGTCGCTCTAGCTACTCCGATCTCTGTGTGTCTCGTGCTGGACTCGTCGATGTGCGTGCACAGTAAAGAACTGATTGCACCGCACCGTGCATCATTCCCATGGCACCGCCACGAGACGTCGTGCGATACCAACACACAGCTATTGCAAAATATACACTCACACATACAAACACAATATGCACTAATGCAAGAAGGGGAAAAACGATTGCAACAGGAAAACGCCATCACCGGACACTGGCGGCGGACAGGCCGTCAGCTGGCTGGACGCTCTCACCCACGCCTTATCTCGTCGCATGCGATATGTCAACAGTGAGTCCGCGTGCCTATCCATCCATCGGCCTTCTGCGGCGCTTAAGCAGCAGGTCGTCGCCGGCACACTCCGCTTTGTATTCTTGACCCGGCTGAAGGTTGAACAGGCCGTACTGACTTCGGAAGCGCTTGTGGAGGTACGCGCGAAGGGCAGCGTCGTCGATGCGTATGGAGGTGCTCACGTGGAACTGAACAAGTACGACACAACAAAACTTGTGGCCGCTGGCCAGCGGGAAATTGCACTCTTTGTCGGCGTACCTCCAGGTCGGTTGAGGATGCCAGCATCGCCAGCACACAGCCATAGAAGTCTTCAGCATCAACATTGACGCCTGCAGCTGTGACGCCTGCGAAACACACACATGCGCATGCACACATCCATCCATTGATCCATCCACCCATCGATCCATCTCAGGTACCGTAGACTTTGAGATGCAGGTTCTCGATGGGCGAAATATACGCCGCATGTCTGCCCAGCTCCCACTCTCGCCCGCCACCAGCCGTCGACATGACCGATGCGCTCGTCGTGTGGATGGTCAAGTCGATGCTCCCGAGGGGCTTGATCTTCGTCAGGAAAGCAACGACGCCGGCACCGGCACCTGACGTCAGGGGCCGATGTTGAGAGCCCACCTCGACACGAGACAAGTTCGGGAGGGAGCAGGCGATGTCGACGGCCGTCGCGCGCTCCTCTTCCGACGCCAGAGCACTCCAAGCCATCTCGAAAGTGTGCGCCTTTGGGAAGGTGTCGAATGAGATGCAGGTGGCCGCCGACGGGTCGCTATTCCCCGAGTAGACCACCGTCCCTGCCTGAGCGGCCACGTCGGCGATGATCTTCTTGACGCACTGCGAGCGGTGAGTGCCCACGTAGTACACACGGGCCCAGAGGACGAATACCTCGGCGGCGATGACGACTTCGTGATCCGTATGGAAAGCTCGTGGCTCGTCGGAAAGGAAATCACCATGCATGATGGCACCCCTGATTACGTTACAGCGACGAACATGCAGAGACAGATGGCTGGCTGGCTGGCTGGCTGTGCGTGTGCGTGTCTGACTTACATCAGGTCAGCCACTGTGCCGACCCGCACCCGACACTCGTCACTGTTGAGCAGCTCCATCGGCAGCAGGCGACTCAAGTCAATATGCTTGAGTGTACGCCTGACCCCTCGCTGCACCAGCGTCTCCCGCACACTGTCGATCTCCGGGAAAAAGGGATGATGGCCGGACTTCTCTGCAGCGGACACGTCAACGCCACGCAGTGACCGCAGACTCGCGAGGCACTTGCCGTCGGGCGGGAAGGCACCACTGAGGACCTCCACCAGCCGTTTGCCCTTGCCGTCCTCCTCGTCTATCCCACTCAGGTCAAGATCCTCCAGCCGATGACATCCCTCCAGCCACGCCCGCCCACCCTCTGTGTCGAGCTTCTGGCAGCCGGTGATGCTGAGTGTGGCGAGGTTGGGGGTGGACCACTGCCTGTCGACACGCGCCGGTGCACACTCACTCGGCAGGGAAGTGACGGTCTTGAGGGCTGGCAGATGGACGAGGGAGGCGGGGACGGGGACCACTTCACACATGACGCCAGCTCTCTGCCGCAGCGCCACGCTCTCGAACGATAACACCTCCAGTGTGCCCTGGTCGGCCAGCTCCGCTGCCGCACCGTTGCCGTGGCTCTCCTGCTGCTTCTTCTTCTCGGCCACCAGTGCTGCCCGGCCGCTTGCGTGACCCTCACAGATACTCATCCACACGCCCAGACACCACTTGGGCCGACTGGAGGGATAGCGGACCTTCAGATGCCTCAGCCGCACCGCCCTCTTGCCCCACTCGTACGCGCCCTCCAATGGCATGGCCGTCCACAGGTCTCTTGTGCGCGGGTCTTGGCAGTCGATGGTCAGGTGGGTGCAGTATCGCTGCACCTGCGATGGCCAGTCGCCCTTCCAGCCCTTGACGAGTCTTTCATTCTCATGCAGATAGACGTCTGATGTCACACCTAAACGACCGTCTCACACCACCCCTACATCCTCTCATTGTTCTCAGCGGCGTCCTCAGCCAGCCTCTTGTCCTTCAACTGCTGAAAGGCCTTCTTCAACACCCCCTCGTCCACCTTGTCAAATACCATCTACAGAGCAGGAGAAACAGTGCCCACATGTATGTTCATCTCCGATCCACTCACATCTAGCTTCATCTGTTGCTGCGTCTTTAGGATGGTCTCCAGCTGGCCCTTGACACACTTCTTGAACAGCTGACATGCACCGCAGGTGGGATGTGTGAGGGCGCCATGTGTAGCTCGGTGTGTGCTTACCTTCGTCTCGTGCTTCTCCTCGTACGCCGCATACTCGGCACTCTTGCGGCCCTCTGTAGGCCCACGCAGCATGGCATCCACCTTCTTCTCGTCGCTCTTGCTAAGCGCCTTGGGTTCCAGCTTCGCCTGGTGACGAAAAGACAATCAAGAAGGGCACCGACACACACATGCTGTCTGGCTAGGCACGTGAGCCTGTGACGCACCTGCGCTGCCCACATTTCGACCTGCAGGCATGTCACAGCACACCAATGCACGTCGACCTTATGCCTCTCCAGCCGGGCGGCTATGGCGAGTGCGATCTCGAGACCATGGACGTCGCCATCGCCGAAGTGAAACACCTGAAAAGATGACAATGCCCGAGTGCGTGGCCATATGATGTCGCCTACCGCCACATGAGTGATTGTGGACAGGCGGATGAACAGCTTCATGACGGCATCGGACGGATAGCCCTTTGCTGACAAGAACAGACGAAATGGAGACATGCTGAAATGTCTGCTTTCTTTCCCTCTGCGTCGTGCCTACTTGCCAACACGGCGTGGAAGATGTCCATCTTGTAAACCTGCCGGGCCACGCCCTCCTGTTCGACCGTCGCCACTGTCAAAACACGACCTCCGCCCCAGTCGTCCGGCTTGGCCCAGCAGATGAGGCCCACATCGCCTGACAAGGCATTGAAAGAGACGCAGCAGAAATACGACCACAGGGAGAGTGTCCCAGCCATTTCGTCCCGCTTGCCTGTCGCCATCGAATCAGCAACCTCCATCCCACAAGCCGGGACAGAGATGCGTCCGGACCCGTCCTCCGTCTTGATGGCGATCTGTGTCGACATGAAGACGGCGCTGGACTCAGTGAGGAGCCCCAGCTGACGCATGGTTGCGCCGGTGAACATGGCCATTCCTGTCGGAGAGAGGGGATAGGTTTGCGGCGATGGGCTCAGTTCGTATGCACACCGACCTGTCTTGATGTTGCGCAGAAGATCGCGACGGGATGTGGCGCTGAGCGCGATGGTGTTCTCCAACCGGTAGACGACAGATCGGTTGTGGACCTGATCCACCTCGGCAAGCTGGGCCATCACTGTCAAAGCTGTTAGGGAACATGCCCACACACAGATGTAACACTGGCAACCAAGTCAGTCTGTGCTCTTGACGACACCTGATAAGGTACGGTTGAGCCGAGTGGTGAGGGGGGCGTCCTCGTCAGGCTCCACCACGGCCGAGCTTGCCTGCACGTACACACAGCATGTGTGCATGGTGATGATGCATTTGCACGTGCATCTGCTCTGTGCCCCTCCCTACCTCGGCAGTCATCCTGACGTCACCATCTGCATCCTTTCCGCCGCTGCTCTCACGGAGAGATACAAGGCCCCAGAGAAAATCATGCACCTGACATACCACACACACACACACACACACACACACCCCGGTCAGTCCGTCCATCCATCCATCCATCAATGTGTGTGTTAGTGTCAGTCAGTAAGCCGCACCAATGGCGATAGTTTGTCCTTGTCTAAGCCGTCAGGAAGGTGCCCGGTGGCCAAGACAAGTGCACCCACTGCACATAGCACTCCCACACGGCCACGGGCACGCGTGCACTCTGATGTGCACACACATCAACAATGGAGTACAGCCTTCAGAGTGCACGAACATCGAACCTTCGGGTGTGCGGGGCCACAGGAGCTCGACCTCGCTCTCACACGCATCCTTGAGGAGATCATCGAGTGGGGGAAGACCGGGGACCCTGAGCCTTGCGGCCATGAGCCGCCACCCGGCCATGCATCGGTCCCTAGCATCAGGAGCCATCTTCCCGCAGGCCTCCTCGAACAGAGGTTCCAATTTGCCCTGCAGCCACACAGGACATGGGCCTTGAGATCGAGCGATGTAGCCGTTGGCATCATAATGCAGCCTACCAGTGCATGGGTGTGCCATTCCTGGGCCGGAAGGACCTTGCTGGCTTTCATCGCCGGTGGAAGCCGCCGCTCCGTGACGCCCTTTTCGACGAAGGCGTGCTTGTCCGGGCTCCACTTGTACGGCGCGTCGTCCGGCAGCCGAGGCACCACACCCCCTCTGCACACACACACAATAGGGGCGAGAGAGAGCAGTGTGGACAGGACGGGATGATCTACGTGTGTGTGGTGTCACGGCTCACAGGATCATGAGGTACATCCCGCCCAGGAAGTCCGTCACTTCCATCCCCGGTCGACACAGCTTCTGCACATGTGCCCAGATGGGGATCCGCACCTCGTCTGGGCACCAGCGGTCGATCACAAAGCGAAGCTTCGTGACGACCGCGGCCCGTGCTTGCCCGAGTGTGCGAAGAGCGCCAGCCGGATAGACGTCGGAATCCTCGCTCTGTGGCGCCGGTGGCGGGAGGCCAGCATAGATGGGTCGGTCATCTTCCTCATCAGCCATTCTTGCTCTGTTGCCACTGATCTGCGAGCTTATATGTTGGAATGTATTTACGCATGGCTCTGTCGGCTGTTTTCCCTCACCATGGATGAGGCTTCTATGGACCTCTGGGACGGGGCCGTCTTCGCTGCGGTGCCCAGTGCCCGTCACATTCACCAAATGGCGGTCGACAGAGCACGTGGCAGTGTGATTAAGGGGGGAGAAGGTGTTCAGCACCACCATGTGTCCGACATACCTGACGCCGCAGCCATTCCCGGCCCCCCGATTACCCGCAGAGCCGCCGCCGCCGCCGCCCAGCTGGCCATCGCTGCATCAGCCCCCGACACACCGCTGCGAGAAGATCTCAGTGAGCATGGAGCTGGACGGTCCAGACGAGGACGAATACCCATTGAGTGCCCTGCTGGCCCACAAGAAGGTCAATAAGCGGCACCGCACAGCGGGTGTGGGGGATGACGAGGAGTGGGAGGGCGGCGCTGACGAGGCATCCAGCGAGGAGGAGGAGGAGGAGGAGGAGGAGAAGGCATCGGGCCGCCGAGGGAGGGCAAAGAAGAGCCGCAAAACGGCAAACAAGGCAGCGGGCAGGAGCGTGGGAGGGCGTAAGGCGGGAAGGCGTAAGGCCGGAGGGCGTGAGGCGGGAGGGCGTAAGAGGAGGGAGCTGGACCGAGCAACAAGGTGAGGAAAGGGCCGCACTCACCTGGGAGGTGCGGATGGATTGGTGTAACATATGTCTCATGCGTGTGTGTGTGTGTGTGTGTATATGTTGGCAGGGTGAGTCTGAGTGTGCGGCCGCTGCCGAGGAAGAAGGCAATCCAGACCGTCGTGCTGAGGTAAGACATTCAGGAGAGGCAGACGCACACATTTGTATGGATGTGATGGTCCGTTTCTGTGTAGAAGCGTCGTCGATGGGTTGACCTCAAGGACAGACGGGAGCGCCGCGCTATCAATGCCGGTGAGGTCGCCCACGGCAGTGCAGTGCACGGAATGACAAGTCCCCATTACTTGCTCTGGTTTCTGTGCAGTCATGCCCCCTCGCACTGAGTCCGACATGATGCCCCACAAGCATCCCGCTCCATCCGTCCCCCTCGAACCCATGACGTCGACCAGACCCAACAACATGACCATCATCCCGTCTGGAGTGTACAAGTCCCGCCAGCCCGGTGTGACCTTCGACTCGACTAACAACCAGTGGAAAGTGCAGGCGCCCGGTGATGAGAATCGTTACATCAAGGAATTCTGCGTCCTGAAGATGGGGATGAAGGAGGCACAGGTGGGTGGGAGAGAACCATCCGCCAGCCGAGTCTGATGAACGAATCGACGCATCCATGGTTCAGGAAGCAGCCGAGGCACTGGCCAAGCAGGTGTGGGGGGACAGGACGGAGAGGGGCGGCGGGTGGGCACCACCCAAGAGTGGAATCACGGGCGTGCACTGGCATAAGCAGGGCAAGTTCTGGTACGCTCAGTGGCAACAGAACAAGCAGCAGAAGCAATCCAGCCCATTCCACCCCTGTGACTACGGCGGGAGCGATGGCGCAAAACAGGCGTGTGCTGCATTGCGGGCAGAGATGGTGAGTGATGGTGTGTGGTGGCGGGTGAGGGTGCAGATGTGTGTCGCTGTCTGTTTAATCATCAGGTGCAGCTACACTACCACATGGGCACATGAGTCATCGTCGCGCGTCAAGTCACGAGTCGCACAGACCCACACAAACCCATACACCACTTGACAACGACATCCGGCTGCACACTGCCCCAATGCCAGACCTCAACGTGTTTTACATGGCCTGACAATCATATCGCATTGATGGGATCATGTTGTGTCATCAAAGAGCAAATCTTGTCATCAAAGAGTCAAATCTCGCTGCTTGTCATCAAAGTGCGGCCGCCTGGAGGAAGATCGGCACTGAGGGGGCGAGGAGGGCCTGCTGCCACGGGTGGACGAACCCGAAAACATGGGAGAGCTCCTCCACAGACGAGCGATGACCAGCCTGGATGAGATGAACACCACACGCAGGCAGGCAGGCAGGCGTAATAAATGAGAGTGAGCGACGGGCGGGCTGTTCGGTGGCTATGTGTGTTTGTCTTACCGGCGCGTCGTCGGCCACTGGCTGCTGGGAAGTGTGAATCAAACTAAACGTGGCCTGACAAGACAAACAAACAAACAAACAAGCAAAACACACCAATGTGCAACACAAGGGTTTAGGCCCTAAACTCCTTCCTTTGGTTGGCACGTGCCTCGACAGCTGGTGCAATGAGTGCCTCCACCGCTGTACTCAGCTGTGGCTCAAGCTGGGTCAGCTGCCCCGTGGCGGCGGCCAGGAACGCAGACAGAAACGACATCTGCACGCGAAGCTGATGCCGCATCAACTCATTGACGGTGGATGACTGCAAGGAACGACACAATCGACCGACAATGGTAATTAAGCTGATAGAAAGAAATCACTCCAGGCCCTATCACTTACTGTGTCACTCACATGCTCGGCGGCGATGTTGAATGCATGCTCGTCCACCCGTTGAAGCCTCTCGTAGATCTGACGAACAATGAAAATGAATTAACGAGTTGGTTGGCTTGTGAGTGTCAGCCTTCACATGCGCTCACTTCTGAGTGGATGCCCTCGAGCTTCGCGAGGCTGTCCAACATGGCCTTCGCGTCCGCCCGTAGCTGCATGACGCAACCAATCCAATCAGCCAACCACACCAAACAAAACATGCGACATGGAGTGGCTGGATCTGGTCGCTGGGCATGCACCTGGGCTCCATCTGATGGAGGTGTTGTCTCTCTTTTCCTCTTCGCGCCGGACATATTCATGATGAAAGAGACGGCGGCATTCGCGAGAGATGAAGGCCAACCGCCCGGTCGGCGAGATGGGTTAAGGGGTGCAGGTCGGGTGCAGGGTTTGTCAAACCCTGAAATCGGTGCTGAGTTGTGTCACGCACTAGAGCTGAGGCGAGCAAGTACACAGTATACGCATCCATACCTGCACAGATCGAGTAGGTGTGTACACACACACACACACATACATTCAGTTGGTTGGTGGTCAAGCACCCGTGCTCGTGATCCATGCAGGAAAAAACAAATAAGAGTACTTGACGCGGTGTCCGTGTCTGTCTGTCTGTCTGTACTGGATATATGTATGTAGGTGTCGTGAGGTATTCGACTCCAATCGATTCATGGTGTGATAGGAAAGCACAACCGTGGTTCACACACACACACACACACACGGAATGAACGCCACACCTCCGCCGTGTCCAGCGCCTTTCTTTCATACACCACTCCACTCCAGCAAGACACTTGAGAATCTCTTAGCTATACAGTACATTTCAGTGCAGCCAAGCATAGCGGTAGCGTAGACACGAAGGATATCACACCTCCCTCCCTCCCTCCCTCCCTTCATTCATCCATCCATTCATTCAGAGCCAGCCGAGCCCCAGGCCCTTGGTGGTCGGCTTGAATTTGACTTTGGAGCGGACACTAGGCCGGTAGGCCAGCTGCGGGCCATGCAGAAAGTACTTGACGCCCAGCACGACCACACTCAGCACCACCTGGCCCTTGACCACCGTGCGAAGGCGGCTGTCCTGGCACATCAGCCGAATCGTCTGCTCGGTCTCCTGCACGATAATGCCGTCAAGACCGATGTAACTCGGCACCCTGGCCTTGTCCACTCTCACAAATGCGCCATGCAGGTCGGCCGCCGCCAGCCGGCTGCCCCTCTCGGTGATGGGCAGCCGCTCGTGCATCAGCTGCTCGGCGTACTGGCTCCACAACTCATTCAGGGGGAGGCAGTCGGCATAACTCAGTGTGCCGTCTTGCAAGTCGTAGAGGCCCCGTCTCCTGGCCTCGTTGTTGCTCATCTTGGTGAGCCGCCGTGGTGGCTTCTGCTTGGCCTTGGGCTCTCCCTGCTGCTGCTTCTTGCTGGGCTGGTTGTCCAGCCGCATCACTCGCCCCTTGACCTTGCCCTCGTACACGGCGGCCGGGTCATCTCGCATCGACGGCACCGCGTCCGTCAGGAAGTCGAGAGCAGCATCGTCCGCCGTGGACGAAGGGGGATGGGGATGCTCTGCCGAAG